GAGGGAGGTATGGGGGCTGAGAACACGCCCTGGTGTAGGGGATATCAAACCGGGAAAACACACACACAGATATGTCGCACCCGCCGCGGGCAACCCTACATGCTCACCTTGAGCTCGATGAAGCTATGCCCAACGAACACTGAATGGCCGGCGCTATTCATAGCCTTGATGATCGCCCCCGGCCCGCCAATCACGGTGATCGGGTTGCCGGATTCCCCCTCCCTCACAGTTTCCAGGGCCTGTTCGTAGGTCCCCTCTAGAAGGCTCACCGTATCCCCGGCCTCAGCGAGCTCCATGACTTCGGCCAGGTCAAACCCGTCGCCATCAACGGTCACATTGTACGTCATGGCCCGCGTTGAAGGGGAAATAAGCATCAGCAACGGCAGAGCCCTGAAAAGAACCGGCCATATGGGGAGGCCGGGGCATGTTTTCCTGCTGTTGCAGCAGGTTATGGGCATTGTTGGGGTGTACCGTAGAAATTTCTCTTTTTTTGCCTTCCGACATTTATTTGCAGATGTACCTCAGAAAACTTTCACTTAATGTCTCATACTCTACATGAATATTAAACCAATAAGAAGTACAACGACATATGTAGGACTTATTTCTACTTTCACTTACATCTTAAAAATATCTCCTCTTCAATTTGAAATAAAACCAATGACAATCCTCATGGTATCCTACATGCGTTCGTAAGCTTGCTAATGATTTGTTTCTAGTCTTGTCTAGGCAAGTGTTGGGCGGATTGGTAGTGCTGGGATGTAGCGGCGTCGTTGGGCAAGAGATCGATGGTCTGTGGTCTGTGTAGACGTGCGGACGCATGGATACTGTCGATTTTTTTGTTCCGACACCTGTCTCGTACTATGAATGTAAGAAGATCTGGAATGTTAACATATGATAACCGTAATATTCGAGGTGAAATGAGCTGATTCTTTTCAGTGATTCTTTTGGTATCACACATAGTCTACACATATGAGAGCTATTCGCACGGATGGCGTGCACGCGCGTTTTCCACGACGACTTGGAGCTTTCAGGTTTCGGTGAATCATCGACTATGCCTTTGATACTTGAGAGGTGGCCCACGGGCGCAGGGGCAGCGACCAGGTGCAAGTACATACATGCGCAGACCGGAATATTTTGTAGTCTAAACTTTTTGACGAGGCGCGGCATTCCCTCCGTGGGGTGGCACGATAGTCGCGCCCGAGTCCGCACTCTGCGTCCCGTGGGCGCATTGTAGCAGGGATGCCAGAGAGGGGACAGTTTCTCCACGCTATTCACATGCAGGAAGTGGTGGCTGCGAAGTTATATCCACAGCCCACGAGCAGCCCCCAGAGGCACACTTCCTTGCTTGTGCGTACTCTATGCGTACCCTTCTATTTATTTTATTTATTTATTTTTGCCTTCCGACAATTGCAGATGTACCTCAGAAAACTTTCACTTAATGTTTCATACTCTACATGAATATTAAACCAATACGAAGTACAACAACATATGTAGGACTTATTTCTACTGTCATTTACATCGTAAAAGTATCTCCTCTTCAACTTACCAATGACAATCCTGATGGTATCCTATATGCGTTCGTAAGCTTGCTAAAATACTACTGCGTTGATGTCCGCTTGTAAAAGCTGAAATCCAACAAATGCTTTGATCCATGCTACATCTCCGTGTTGGAAAAGCCCTTTCATCTCCGTTCATGATAACATCTTACCCTATTCTACGCAAATCTGTCACATCTACTCTCAAACAAGACGTCAACTTCAAACGAAAGCGCGTTCTACGATGCGTCNGAACATCAAAGGCATTACGAGCATCTTCATAAGGATCAAAACCACATTCATAAGAAGATAATTTTTCAGTATCTCCATCTGAAACAGCTAAAATAAACGAAGCACCGAAAATAATACTAGCTAAAGCAAGACTAAAGCCTAAAAAAATTAATACAGGGTAATATTCTTTTAAAAAAAACATAATTATTTAATTTATACTTGGTTTTAACCAACAAACTGGACATAATTCTATAACTCCACCTGAAGTTTCAGTTTTTAGTACACTTTCTTTAAACATCCCAATTTCAGAATGACCTCCTCTATTAGAAGTACCAGCAAGTTTAAAGCTAAGTTTAAAGCTGCGTTCGTCAAAGGACACGTGTCCCGGACGAGCGTAGTGCTGACGCTTTCGCGCCTCGGATGCTTGGGCTGCGATTCCATCGCTGGTCGCGCTGCCGTTCCGCAAGTGTACCTGTGCTTGCGGGTCTGCGTGTGTGACATCGAGGAGTATTCCTTTGTTGCGGTACCCCGGAGAAGATGCGTTCGTGAGGGCTCCTGGCCTGATGACGATGTCCATGCTCAGGTTTCTTTCCCCCGTGAACGGTGCCCCNTGGATCAAAGCATTTGTTGGATTTCAGCTTTTACAAGCGGACATCAACGCAGTAGTATTTTAGCAAGCTTACGAACGCATGTAGGACACCATGAGGATTGTCATTGGTTTTGTTTCAAATTGAAGAGGAGATATTTTTTCGATGTAAGTGACAGTAGAAGTAAGTCCTACATATGTTGTTGTGCTTCGTATTGGTTTAATATTCATGTAGAGCATGAGACATTTGAGTGAAAATTTTCTGAGGTACATNTGCGATTCCATCGCTGGTCGCGCTGCCGTTCCGCAAGTGTACCTGTGCTATTGAAGTTTGTTGGATATCAGCTTTTACAAGAGGAAATCAACGCAGTAGTATTTTAGCAAGCTTACGAACGCATATAGGATACCATCAGGATTGTCATTNAGCGGACATCAACGCAGTAGTATTTTAGCAAGCTTACGAACGCATGTAGGACACCATGAGGATTGTCATTGGTTTTGTTTCAAATTGAAGAGGAGATATTTTTTCGATGTAAGTGACAGTAGAAGTAAGTCCTACATATGTTGTTGTGCTTCGTATTGGTTTAATATTCATGTAGAGCATGAGACATTTGAGTGAAAATTTTCTGAGGTACATCTGCAATTGTCTGAAGGCAAAAAAAAAAAAACGAAGTTTACTTCTACACTTATTTTTTTCAAATGATGCGTCTGTTGACTCCCCCTCTGGCCCCCATCCTCCACTTCTACTAGCTAGACGACCCAACCGGGGTCACATAGGAGGGGCGGGTTGGACCCCCTCCTGCGGTTGTGTAGTTTACATGTACCTCCGGAAGACCCAACACTTCCCCAGCAGCAGTGCATCATCTATGTGTTCCAGCATGCTGCTGCTGCTGCTGCTGCTGCTGCTGTCGATAGAAGCCGCAATCGAAATATCAGTACAATAATTATTGCTTGTTTTGCCTTCCGACAACTGCAGATTTACCTCAGAAAACTTTCACTCAATGTCTCATACTCTACATGAATATTAAACCAATACGAAGTACAGCAACATATGTAGGACGTATTTCTACTGCCACTTACATCGTATAAATATCTCCTCTTCAATTTGAAATATAACCAATGACAACCCTCACGGTATCCTACATGCGTTCGTAAGCTTGCAAGAATACTACTGCGTTGTACAATTCGTTGCTGTGGGGTCCGAATGATCCGAAACTGCTGTCACTCTGAGGAGGGGTTACAGACAAAAAATCGGTGTAGGGAGGCAATGCGCGGGACGCGCTGTCGCGAGGACGATACGCCACAACATCGGAGAGGCATCGACCCCGCAGAGAGAGGGGGGGGCAGCGATGGTGGCGGTGTTCGTGTGGCCAGCGGGAATGAACTGCTGAAAGGAAATCAGGACCAATCGTATGAGAAAAACGAACAAATTAGGTGTCTTAGGCCGGAGTGAGTATTGTTTCATGGTATTCCTCCTGAAAAAAGACAGTAGAAAATGGACTAGCAGTCGACAGGTTGGTGTGAACCACGGGCGATCGAGTGACAACAATGATCACAGGTAGACACTAGACGTAGATTGAGATCCCGCCTTCGATCTCGCACGTCTTTCTGGTGAACCACACACACACGCATAATACGGGCTAACATCAGCTGCGAATTCCGAACAGGCCACCCTTTCTACCTCTTGTTGCTTCTCGATGATTTACACCGCCACCTCCGCGTTTTCAAATCCGGGAATTTGGAGAGTTGTCTCCGCCCAAATTGCAGTGAAAAGATTCTGCATGTGGTGTTCACTTCTTGTTGAGATTTCACTCGATTTCTGCTGCCCTTGTGTGCTTTAATTACACTTTCTCTCCAATCATGATACACACCGGCGTGCCCGAAAAAAAATACAAATTCCCTGTCAGCGTAGTTTCGCTGTGCATTAGCAGCAAACGATGCTGCATATTCCAGGCGGCTGTGAAGCCTACCTCAGAGGTTCACACTCTGTGCGGCTCCAACCGCGAGAGACTTGGAATGGAAATATGAAGATGTTTTTGTATATTGCTGACTCCCGAGTCAGATTGATGCTGCTGGTACTGAAGAGGAGTGAGAGGGGTGGCGAGCTTAGGGCTGCACCACTCTCCTCGAATATTGGACAAAAAAGTCAATCACACGAAAGATCTAGAATGTTTCCAGAATGATTCTGGAAGCTCTCCTACGTTCTAGAAAAGTATCTTTGCTGCAATCGTATTCAAAGGTCAAACCGTGTCCGACTTCTGGTGGTCTCGACGCACGATTTTTCCTGACACGACCCCTCGATCAAGCAACTAATTCACAATGAATGGTCAACCGCATCACCATATCCATTTTTACCTCGACCCCGCCGTTGGCATCGAATCGAAAATAATTTTCATTTTGTATGACGCGTATGGTAGGAAGCTTAACAGATATTCGATCAACACGAGAATTTCTTGATCTGCCGAATGATGGAGGCGATTCGGTGCTTTGGTAGGTGCTTGGTCGCGATATCAGCCAACTGGTGCTCACTGGGCCGGTGGTGAAGAGTGATTTGTCCCCGCAGTTTTAGCTCCCGGAGGAAAAAGTACCTCAGGGCTACGTGCTTCGTGCGTTGAGAGTGCATGGCATTCCCGGCCACTGTCAGCGCTCCAGTGATGTCGCTGTTGGGGAACCGATCCGAAGGTCTTGAAGTTGAGTTCCATCATTAAGTTTTGAGATATAGACCGCCTCTCTGGCTGAGTAGCTAAGTGCTTAAATCTCGGCTTCTACCGTGCTTTGCGCGGTTAGAGTTTGAGTCTTCGCATCGTAGCTGATGAGTCCTCCAGCCAGGAAGAAGAGATATATAGTGGTAGATCGTCCGTTGTCGGGGTTTGCTCCGAAGGATGAATCCGCAAACGCCGCTAGCCGAAACTGCCCTCTCCTGTAGACGATAGGAAGAACTGGATTACCCCGAAGGTATCGCAGAACGTGCTTGGCTGCTGTCATGTTCACTTGCGCTGGGTTGTTGCAGGCCTTAGACAGTTGTAGGGTCGCGTAAGAGAGGTCGAATCGCGTGCACTGGGCCAGGTAGAGGATGCTTCCCGTCATCGAGTGGTAGATTTTCTTGTCCGTGGGTCCTAGGATTTGGTCCTGAGGTCGATTCGCGGATATTTCCGCTCTGTATCCAGGAGTGCTCACCGGGTTGGCCTCTTGCATTCCGAACCGTTCCAGAAGTGTGTTCACGTAGTGCTCCTGTGAAATGCCCAGGGTTCCTTGCTCGTAGTCCCGCTCTACGTCGATCCCGAGGATCCGCCCATGTCGGTCTTCTCGAATCGATCCGTGAGCTCGTTCTTCTTCTGGTCCACGAGCTGCTGGTCTCCTCTCGTGATGAGAATGTCGTCTACGTAGACCGTGAGAATCACGATGACGTTGCCGCTGGTATACACGCACACGCAGGTCGGATAAGTCCTTTTCGATTCAAACACCGTGAGAGACTCGTCCAATGTGTCGTTCCGGAGCGCCGGCGACTGCGATAGGCCGTAGAGGCTCCGTTCTAGTTTGTACACCGTGAGTTCTCCTGTCGCGGAGTTCTTGGTGGATGTACCGGGGGCGGGTCTGACGTACACATCTCTGTCGCAGAGGGCGTTTAGGAAGGCACCGACAACGTCCAGTTGGTAGATGGGCCAGTTGTTGTGGCAGCCAATGGCGCACGTCGTGCGAATGCTCCCGATACGGCATACTGGGGCGTAGCTGCATCCGTAATCCTGTCCTGGCTCTTGACGATGTCCTCCTACTACCAGGCGAGCTTTGAAACGTCGGTCTAGCTTTTTCTTGGAAGACGAATTTCGTTGCGAGGTTCTTCTCTCCCTTGGGAACGCTACTGAGAGGCACCAGATTGTAGACGTTGTGTTTCCGCAGATTGTCCATTTTCTTGCTGCACGCTCCTTTCCATTCTTCGCGCTGGGGAGAGCTCATGGCTTCGTCGTAGGTGTTGGGGATGTCGATCGCTTAATTCGTCTCCTCCAAGATCCCGTGGTGGTCGTGAGTGGTCGTGAGGTAGGCGTGGGCACGCGGCGCCGTTAAGGCGTCTTCCGCCACTTGGACGAAATCCTCAGTATCGCCAGGGCATGGGAGCTGGGCTTGATCGGCTATCTCAGCCAGCTGAGTGAACGGAAAACCGGATGGCTCCACGCGGCCCGTTGCAGCATGGGCTCGACCGAGGTCGTTCATGGTGACTTGCAGATCGGCAGGAACCAAGGTGACGCCGACCTGATCGTCGCTGGTGGGCTTCCCGCGCGTGCTAGCTCTAGTGACTTGCAGGTGCCGCATGCCGAAGGATCCAGTTGATGTATCCGGTACACACGGATTCGACGATGATAAGCTGGGGCTAGATGCGTGGGTTGCGGATGACGGTACAGCTGGCATCGATGAGGGATGCGGTGATGGGGCGTCCCCGTCGCCGAGATCTTGCCCGTTTCCATGTTCGCCTTCGTTCCCGTCCAGTTCTAGGCGAAGCTCCTCCCGAGCGAGATTGTCTTGCTGCATCTTCCTGACTTCTTGCCGAAGGAGTTCGTTCTGCGCCGTAAAGTCCACGTCGCTCGTCGAGTGGGGGCTGTCCAGCAGGGAGATGAAGCTCAGCACGTCGCCCTCGTACCCGTTTGCTTCAGTGGAATGCTGGAATGGCACTGACCGGGGTGGAGATTCGATGAAAGTCATATTCCGGCTCTCGACCACGGCCCCGTTGGATTGATTGAATACCCGGTAGGTCTGGCTGTCGACGCCGAAACCACACAGCTTGCCTTCGAAAGCTCTGTCGTCCAGCTTCTTTCGGTATCGCTCGTGGTGTACGAAGGCGCGCGCTCCAATGACCCGAAATCCCGAGAGATCAGGTGACTTATTGTGCAACTTCGAGTATGGCGTAGCTCCCCCCAGTGCTAAGTGTGCGGACCTGTTCAACAGGTATGCTGCAGTCAGCATTAACTCCCCCCACATGGACGGCGGAAAATCTCCATGCTTCAGAAGACACCGGGTGACTCCGTACAGGGTTTGTCCGTCCCGTTCCGATGCACCAATTTGTTGAGGGGTGTTGGTGGCGGCGTATTCGAGCTTGATATCTGAATTTTTGTAGTAGTCTCCAAATTCGGATCCAGTATTCTCACCTTCCTTGTCGCAGTGGATGGTCTCGATCCGGTAGCCTCCTGCCGCTGCGACGCACATGTCAGTCGTGTCAGATTTCTTGCGAAGCAGGTACACTTCTTTCATTTTCGTGTAGTCGTCGGTGATCTTGCACGCATACGGGAAGTAGCCCCCTTTATATTTCGCAGGTGGATTAACGGGCCCCATGTTGTCGATGACCACAATTGTCCAGGCCGTGATAGTTTGCGAGTCGATTTGCTTGGGGTGGGGGGACTGCTTGTGTTTCGCGATCTGGGAGAGACTGTCGTGATAGTCCACCACGGTACCCGTGTCCTTCCGAAGGATATCCAGGCTGTGATGGAGGAGGAGGAGGCAGGGGATATGCCGATCCGAGAGGTGGTGGGGAGCCTGATGTGGATCGCCAACCAGACGAGGCTCGACATCTCAAATGCTGTGCGGGCGGTGGCGACGCACTCTCACGAGCCAAAGAAAAGCCACCGGAAGGCGGCCCAGAAGATTCTGAATTATCTTCTGGAGACGGCACATTAAATTTTGAAGTACAAGCAGGACACTATGGTAGGCGTAGGCACGTTGGTGTACGTAGACGCAGACTCGCCAGTAAGGCCACTGACCGTAGATCAGTTTCGGGAGCACTAGTTCTTGTAGCTGACTGTCTTGTTGCTTGGATTTCTAGGACGCAGAAATGTGTCACACTTTCAACAACTGAAGCAGAGTATGTAAAAGAGGCTCTGTTTGTCAACGGAATGCTCGAGTTCTTGAGGCCTAGTGATAGAATCGGTAAGGTTCAGGTACGAGAGGACAACGAGGGTGTGACTGCACTTGCGGAGACTCCACTCAGTTAGTGTAACAGTGAGCACATTGACGTGAGGCACCACTTTCTCAGGAACTTGGCAGAGGAGGGAGTGTTGGAAATCAGGCATGTCTCTAGCGAAGGACAGCATGCGGACATTCTGACGAAGGCTCTGCCGAGAGATCTTTTTGAAGTTCATCGTAATTTTGCTCTAGGTTTG